GCCCCTGTTGGGTGCTAATTCGAGCCCAGGCATGTCGTACCCCATTTCTGGCCAGAACCCAGGCTACAGGCACGATGGCTACGAGGTTGAAGCCCCTCTTATTCCTCACGGTGTGTCCGTGGCTGTCTCTGCGCCAGCTGTCTTCCGCTTCACAGCAGCATCGAACTCAGATCGCCATTTGGCAGCCGCAGAGGCCTTCGGCGTTGATATCAGCAACGTGAAGCGCGAGAGTGCAGGCGAAGTGCTTGCAGAAGCTATTACCAAATTCCTTGCGGAGCTCGGTGACCAGCCCAAGGGTCTTAAGGAGTTGGGTTTCGGCTCGGAGCACATTGAGGCCCTTGTCGAAGGTACCATTCCTCAGGCACGTGTGTTGATGCTGGCACCAGGATTGTCTACGCAGCTCGAAGCGGAGAAAGACCAGCTAAGGAGACTGTTTGAGAACGCAATGACTCACTAAGACTCCTCCTGAAGAAAGGAGTTCGTCAATGCGGGTATGCAATTGCATTGCGTGTCGTCGATCGATTGCAGCCGCGGATGTCGTGTCACTCTTAAATATCTGGATTAGTACTTATTAAGATACAAATATAGCAACATGTGTACCATGATAATCTGACCCACTTTGGTTTTCTATGGAACATTCGGGACAAATCGACGATGTGAACTGTTTCTAAAAGTGGTATAAGCTTGTTTGCATGTCGTGCGTTTATAACATAAAAATTTATCCATACGTCTGAAACCGCGTACTACTAGTAAAATTATGCTGTTCAACGGTATGCCTTGATTTGTGCAACTCTCCACGTTTCGAATGTCACCACATCGACCGTTAAAAATCGTCCCGTTCTCTTTTAGTGCACCGTAACACTGACTCCCTGGCAAAGTTGCAAATGCCATTCTCGGTAACAGGCGTCATTGGGTGAATCTGAAAAGTCCCTGCAGGTACTAGACCGATCCACTGAAAGATTACCGTATCAGGTAAAAACAAGACGAATCTTGCATTGGTAACCGAGACGCCATGCTAATCCTGGCAAGCCCCTACAATTTCTTTAACAGAAGTGAAGAGAACTAGTCTAGTGATGGAGACAAACGGGGAGAGTTGAAAGACTTTGATGAAGCGACTCCTTTTTGAGATTCTGGACCAAGAGTCTATGGATATCAATTGCTTCGCTTGACTCTTCTACCAGGCCTTCTCTTCTATTTTAGAACGAGCTACCAGAGTCATGAGCCTGTTTAGTGTTTTTCACCTGGTGGGTCTTGGCTCAACTATCCCCGGACTGCCGGCCGGATGGCGTTCCGATGGCCACGACGTCGTGATGCTGGCCTGGAATTTACCTAAGAAAAACTCGAACCAAGCGGTTTCGCAATAAGCTCCAAGAATCTCCAAGACTTCTAGGCTCAAATTTCTCCCTTGTGCCTCCACATCCACTACGTCACGGGGCCTGTACGAGCCCAAGGTGATCGCTGCTTTTGCCGGAGATGGACAGGGCCCGTCCGTGTTAGTCGTACGTACGATACCCAATTCTAACACTGGAACCGCAAAGCTTGATGGAGCCCATAGAGTTTGCGATCTTCATATAATAACGTAAACCCGCCCTTCCCCGCGAAAGTCATTGTTGAGGCTCTCCAGCTTATCCCTGTACATCTTCGATCACAATCCCATCTTTTCCACTTCCTTCGCTCGTTACTAAAGGAAATCGATATCTTGTACCTAATCCAAGGCATACTCCAGTCACTCACGATACAATGGAGGGCACTTCTAGAGATATTCAAGACGAACCGGACCTCGAAGTTGGACCCGAACCACCCAAGACTGGTTCTGGTTCTGGCTCAGGTTCTGGCGCCGATACACCACCAAGCCCAAAGACTGCTGCTGCAGCTTTGAAGAAGGACAAGGCACGAGTGCGGTTTAACAGCAATGCTGCCGCAAATCCCCCACCAAAATCATCTACTCCTCCTCCTGCCGCAGGAGGCCCCATCGCTAAGCCCAGACCATCGCTGTTGCGTGGCAGTTCTGCAGAGGCTGTAAAGACTCTTCACGATGCCGAGCATGAGTCAGACCCTGAGTCAAAGGAGGCAATGGTGGCTGCCCAGGAACGTGCCCGCATAATGGCGGCAAACATTCACAATGATTCATCAGCCATTGACAGAGACTCACTCGAATCCAGCACTGGAACAGCCGCTTGGGACAGCCCTTATGGTTCCAGTATTCCACTTCAGACTCTCAACGAAGGTAGTAGCAGCCGGGAAGGTTTCCACAAGCTTCCATCTGAGGAGCAGGAGGCGCATGGCTTAAAGGATGAAGCTTTCAAGCTTGTTCGAGCACACACTCAGCGATTTGGACCTAGTAGCACTGGTCAGAATTCACCAGCCAACAAGGACACAAAGCATGAAGAACGCGCTCCCCTAACCGAGTTGAACGACGGAAACTTTGATGGAGTCTTATACGATGTTCCAGCACCCGAACAATATCGTGGAAGCGTTCTATCCCAACTTTTGAAGCTCTACAAGCCTCCAGAGCCTCCTTTCAAGGGCTCGCACCACCGAGCTGCCTCTACCTCTTCAGTACTGAGTGAAGCCGGCACTCCCACAGTCCAAGGAACACCATCCGGAGCATCTACGCCAAAGCGAAAATGGTACGACCAGAACAAGTCCCAGGATACTCTCGCAAACCTTATCGAGGCCTCGTCACGACTCGCTAATCCCAATGATCCGGATGACAAGAGGAAGAAGACTACTGGAAAGAGGCCACAAAGACCTGGCCATAAACGAACAACAAGCGCAAACCGCCTGAGTGGTCTTTGGCAACAACAAGAAGCACGTATCACGGTTCACATCGCAGAGACTCTTGCCCGACAGGACTACATAATCAAACTCTGCCGTGCTCTTATGCTTTTCGGAGCTCCTACCCATAGACTGGAGGAGTATCTTAGCATGACAGCTAGAGTTCTCGAGATTGATGGCCAATTCCTCTATCTTCCCGGATGTATGATTATTTCATTCGACGACAGATCAACTCACACAACCGAAGTCAGGATCGTCCGCACATCACAGGGTATCGATCTAGGCAAGCTGAAGGACGTTCATCTCATCTACAAGGAGGTTATGCACGATGTCGTCGGAGTCGAGGAAGCCACTGAGAAGCTCGAGAGCTTGATGAAGCGTAAGGATAAGTTCCACAGGTGGCTCAGAGTTGTCATGTTTGGACTCATGAGTGTCTGTGCTGCTCCTTTCTCTTTCGGAGCTCGTCTTATCGATCTTCCTCTTATTTTCGCTTTCGGCTGTCTAATTGGAGTCCTCCAGCTTATTGTGGCCCCCAACTCTGCCCTCTATAGCAACGTCTTCGAAGTGTCTTCTACCATCATCGTCAGTTTCTTGGCCAGAACCTTTGGCAGTATATCGAGTGGAGGCGAAGAGATCTTTTGTTTCGGCGCTTTGGCGCAGGGCGGTATTGTCATGTTGCTGCCCGGTTACATGGTTTGTAAGTCAACTCTTCTAGTCCCAAAATGATATCAGAAATTAACATAACATAGTATGCTCTGCTCTCGAACTCCAATCTCGTGCTATCGTCCCCGGTTCGATTCGAATAGTCTACGCCGTCATCTACTCCCTTCTCCTCGGATTCGGTATCACCGTTGGTGCAGCTCTATATGGATTATTCGACAGCAACCCATCTAACACGACAACTTGTCCCGATGCCATGAACCCATACTACGGCTTCATCTTCGTGCCATTCTTCGTCATCAGCATGTGTATCGTTTACCAGGCCAAATGGCGTCAGATGCCTGTCATGGTTATCGTTTCCTTCGCTGGTTACATGGTAAACTACTGGAGTGGACAGAGATTCAAGTCTAGTCCCCAGATCTCCAGTACACTGGGTGCGCTGGCTGTCGGTTTACTCGCCAACCTCTACTCTCGACTTCGACACGGTGTTGCAGCAGCAATTCTCATTCCAGCGGTATTCTGCCAAGTTCCTGGAAGTCTTGCGTCTACTGGAGGATTGCTCAGTGGTCTGCAAGTCGCCAACTCTATCACCAACGCAACTGGCGAAATCAACGGAACCTCTTCAGTTCAGTTCCAGCAGGGCTCAAACCCCGATAATCTGGTGTTCAGCGTCGCTGCCTCCATGATTCAGATCGCCATCGGTATCGCCGTTGGTCTCTTTATGAGCTCGTTGCTCATCTACCCTCTGGGCAAGCGCCGCAGTGCCTTGTTCAGTTTCTAATTGCATTTGTTTCAAGTTCAGCGCAGCATCAGCATCAGCATCAGCATAAGCATTGGGAAATCATTCATCTTTTGTATCACAGAAAAAGTTGTGCATTTACATATTCTACAGATTTAAGACATGTTATTTAGAGCGATAAAAACAGGAATTGGGTACTGAGGTGCTTTTGGCTTTGATGGCGTGGTCATTGTGAATTAGGTCTTGGTTAGGGCTGATCTTCTGCATAAAGAATGGGTTTGAATTCATAGAAAGAATGAGTTTCTGGTTCTGATGAGAGCATCCACGACTTTAGACAGGTGACGGGAGATCATATCAATATCATGATGTTCACTCCTATATCTCGATACTTCATCACCGTCATTCAGATCATCATGCTACCGCAACACGTGCCTCTTCCACTGGCTTGAACATGCCATTGTCTCTCCAGGCATCGACATCATAACTGCAGTTTAGCCTTGGTTTCATGAGCTACGAGTGGATACGATAATGTATTTTCAAAAGCCGACTTCCCCGGAATAGCTCACAACGACAGGACGTGGTGCATTCCAGGATATCCGGAGCTCCATATAAGTGACGACGTGTCAGAAGACCCCTGATCCAGGGATATTCTTGGCGGATACCGCATCATGCACAACTTGTCTGTCTCCCACATACCGTCGGATGCTTTTGCCGTGGTCTGTTAGTCACCGTTTATAATGGAACTCTGATAGTCTTTTTATGCATGCATAAGATCCGAGGCTTGAGCTGAAAGTGTAACTTGCATAGCCACAAACTCAGCTCACAGCCACATCCTACGCAATCTGATATCACTGCTGTAGGACCTTAAGCTCTTGGCTTTTAAACAAAACCTGCTCACTTCTACTGACTTTATCCTCTGATCTTCTTAATCACCATACTCAACCTCGTAGCAATTCTAAAATTCCACTTTACGAGCTGCTAATATTGCTTTTCTTGCGACGACTGACTACTAGGTACATCACTGACGACGTCATAGCATTTACTTGTGGTCAGCTTCACCTATACACCTCTCAAACACACCTCAAGTCCTAAACCTTTCAAAGGAAAATGAATCCCTCTGATGTTCCAGATGAACCTCCGCCTTCATACGCTGAGAGTCAGAACCAGCATAAGAAGCTGCCGGCGCAACCTCCGCCTGCAGCTGTAGCTCCTCCATCAAAAGCATCGTCATCAGCATCACAAGCTCCTCCAGCTGCCGGCCCCAGCCAACCACCAGCTGTCCCACGCCAATTCCCGCCGGCGTTCAATCTCTACTATCAAGGATGGCCCAACAATTCCTATACACTTGCTGAACACCAAAACCACCCTCTCTATCTCTACTCCGCACATTCCGGCCTGAGTGATCTGCCACCAATTCTCTTGCACTCTGGTCCAGGCCCGTCATACTCGCCGCTGGCCTCTGCAAGTTTCATGTTCATGAGCGCTAGCTTCGAAGTCGAATTGCCGCCAGTGCCAGGTTCGGGAGCTCCATTGGCACGCGAGGTAATTGAACCAGTAGGTTCACACAGTGGTCTTGGCACAGGCTATAGCTTTGCTATTGAAGTCGGACCCGGAGGCAACGGACCACGAGAGAGATTCGAATGGAGGCGCTCACGTGGAGATGTGATAGCAAGCTTGGGTGGTCACTACTACGGTTGGAAGCTTGTGCGTATGAATCAAGGTGCTCCTGGAGGAGGAAATACGGCATTTGCGCCAGGTGGCTTCAGAGACAGCCGAGGAAACGAAGTTGTTGCAGCTTGGACGATGGGCGATGGAAGAAGTTTGACAAAGGTTGCGCATTTTCGATTCATGGGGACGGGTTTGACAGGACTCCTTGGCGAGAGATGGGCTATTATGGTGGTGATAACAGGGTTGGCCTTATTCCACAGAGACCGAAGGTGATCAGCCTTGACTCTTCTCTCAAAGGCATGGCTTGCATCTCGGTCGTAATTTATGTACCATATACCCCCACTGCACAATACTAACATCCTAATATGAGCTGCAGGTATTTTCACAATATAACCATTGTGATAAGATTTCTATTCAGTGTTGTATGATGCTCCTGAGGTGTAACTACACTTTATGGAGAATGTGTCTCTAGATTCTCTGTGATCCATACGGTGACAGAACAAAGGAATGTCGCCAAAAGGAGACCAGCCGAGCTGAATCATATATATAATTAAGTCGTTCAAAAGAGTATATCTATGGGTGTCTTATTTAAATTTGTCGGCGTTGCTGGGTATCATTTTTCGTAAGACTGCGAGCTGTTTGACCAAGGCAATCTTCCTCTGGTCAGTAAGGTTACGTCGATCGATACGTCTTGTCCCGTTCGAGAAGACTACTGTGTTATCAGGCAATATTGTTCCAGGGGGAATCTTCGCCATCTGCGTAATGGTGCAGTTCTTGATATTGTCAGCTCCTGATCATGAAGATGGGGATTCATATCTACCTTGCCAATCCTAGCACCACTTCCAATAGTTGACCCAGCGTGAACTACCGTACCCTCGCCGATCTCGGTATTGCCAGCTTCAATAATACTGCCAGCCTCGATTGTAACAAAGTCTGCCAGCACGATCCCACCACGTTGCGCAGTATCAGGGTCGGCAGGGCGAGTTCCCAGGTGCGTTCGTTCGTGAATGAGACATCGTCGCCCGATAAGAATAGATCCGGAGTTTGACTCAAACTTCGACCGAGGGTGTACTACTGTCTCTGATTGTATCGTGATCGAGTGTGTTCCTTGAAGGATCGCATTGTCGGAGATGGTCAGGGAATCTGAGAAATGAACGGGAGGCCTAGGACCACTGCGATCGATAGCGGGAAGAATGGAATGTCTTTTGCTAGACATGATGGATGCGACTCAAGTTATCATCGCACGGATATTAATATGCTGGGGTTGATCATTTCCCATCAACACGGCGGAGGAAGCCGAGATGAAGCTTGTATACAAAGCCCACGATACTCGAGTTGGTGTTGCGACACCACAGATCGAGTCCGTCGAATAGAAAGCCTTCCTTGAACGCTTACGTGATGCAAGACTACCAGGATCTATGACTCCAGGTTATCGGTTGGAGGCAAATCGGGAGCGACAGGCAATTGATGCGCTTAACAGAAATGATAAAAAGAACTTGTGTTAATGTGCAAGATCTGGTGTGGAGCAAAGTCCTGGCTAACTTGTGTGGCTGAATAATCGCGTAATGGATTGGCCAATCACTAGCCCGCTATTTCTGAACGGCCTGGTCACGAAATGGATCTCGCCCGGGAAACTTGAAGTGCCGCAACCTGACGTTCAATCATCTCCAAACCGCCACCCGACAACGATCGAGCACAATGCTGTCCACGAGAACGGCGCCCAAGAAGGCCGTCGGCCTCTCACGGACCGCCGTGAGGGGTCTGGCTACTGTCCAGGACGGCGCCCCGAAGCGAACATACGGTGGTCTACGAGACCAGGATCGCATTTTCCAGAACCTCTATAACCGATATCCCGTAGACCTCAAGAGTGCTAGGAAGATGGGTGATTGGCACAAGACCAAGGAAATTATTCTTAAGGGACATGATTGGATCATTAGCGAGGTCAAGGCCTCCGGTCTTCGAGGACGAGGTGGTGCTGGTTTCCCCTCGGGTCTCAAATGGGTAGGTTTCTCCAAGATTGGTTTTACAGGTCAAGAGGCCGAACCAGCATCAATTGTCTCTAACCCAACGCTCTGTAGTCTTTCATGAACTTCAAGGACTGGGACAAGGACACCAAGCCTCGTTACCTCGTCGTCAATGCTGATGAGGGTGAGCCCGGAACCTGCAAGGACCGCGAGATTATGCGAAAGGACCCACACAAGCTCATCGAGGGATGTCTTATCTCTGGCCGAGCCATGAACGCAACCGCCGCCTATATCTACATCCGTGGTGAATTCGTCGAGGAGGCTGCCGTTCTCCAGCGAGCCATCAACGAGGCTTACGCCGCCGGCCTGATCGGAAAGAACGCCTGTGACTCCGGCTACGACTTCGATGTTTACCTGCACCGAGGTGCTGGTGCCTACGTCTGTGGTGAGGAGACTTCTCTTATTGAGTCTCTTGAGGGCAAGCCTGGAAAGCCTCGTCTTAAACCCCCGTTCCCTGCCGCTGTCGGTCTTTTCGGATGCCCTTCAACTGTTACCAATGTCGAGACTGTTGCCGTTGCCCCTACTATCTGCCGACGAGGAGGAAGCTGGTTCGCTGGCTTTGGCCGTGAGCGAAACCAGGGCACCAAGTTGTTCTGTATTTCTGGTCATGTCAACAACCCCTGCACTGTTGAGGAGGAGATGTCCATTCCTCTGCGTGAGCTGATTGACAAGCACTGTGGTGGTGTTCGAGGTGGATGGGATAACCTGTTGGCCGTCATTCCTGGCGGTTCTTCCACTCCTGTTCTCCCCAAGCACGTCTGTGATGACCAGTTGATGGACTTTGACGCTCTCAAGGACAGCCAGTCTGGTCTTGGTACTGCTGCTGTTATCGTTATGGATAAGAGCACCGATATTGTCCGAGCTATTAGCCGTCTCAGCCACTTCTACCGTCACGAGAGTTGCGGCCAGTGCACACCTTGCCGAGAGGGAAGCAAGTGGACAGAGCAGATGATGAAGCGATTCGAGAAGGGTCAGGCTCGTGAGCGTGAGATTGACATGCTCCAGGAGCTCACCAAGCAGGTTGAGGGCCACACTATTTGCGGTAAGTTTCATATCAACTGTCTATCTATAACTCTGTACTAATGATTCTTAGCTCTGGGAGAGGCTTTTGCCTGGCCCATCCAGGGTCTTATCCGACACTTCCGACCTGAGCTTGAGGCTCGTATCCAGAAGTTCTCTCAGGAGCATGGTGGTGAGGCTCTTGCTGGAGGATGGAACCACAATGCCAGAGCCCAAGGCAAGTTGGTGTCTCCCGGTCAATAATCGGAATCTTAAGTAGAAAAGGTCATGGAGAGACGAAGGAATTAGGCTTGATGTGTCTCGCATCGTACTTGTGCATAACTACAACTATTAGGTAGATGCCATGTGTTATATTTACTTATTGTTCAATGGGATTCAGAGTTGTTTAAGTAATTATATGTCTCTCTGCGTGACTCAGCTTCTATATCGACATTTAAACAATTTATAGGCATGTGAGACTATTGGACGATTCACTCATGTTCAAGTCGCTTCAAATTGCCAGAACGATATACGTGGACGTAGGGATCCACTTACATTGAACTACTGGCTGGGCCCATCAACACCGCCTATTCAACATCGACCTAACCACCAGGGGTCAATGATTTGTAATTTTCTGTTCATTTACCTTAGACGTATATAAAGCTCTGGCATAAACTTCGAGTCCTTTTAACTCGCATTGTGCACTTCTGTTCTGTCAGAAAATCAGATATGGTGGGAACATATGAGCATTTTGTTGCCTTTGGCACTGATCTTGGTATTTCTCTCACAAGCCCTCACAAAACACACTAACTAACTATCCTCAGTCGGCATCGAGCGAATCCTCCGTGGTTTTCAAGCGATATGCTCTCTCTTAGTCTGGTACCCGGCTCTATTCGCCCTTGTCCAGCCTAAAGTCTCATCAACATTGTCTCTCCGCGCTTTAGGCAGCCAAATCAACGTCTCCCGACGCTTCATTCGCTTCTTCCGCTTCTTGGATACTTTCCGCGCAGGATGGCTCATTTACGTTGCTCAAGGCGACAAGAGCCTTGATATCTGGCTTGATATCATTAGCAAGACTTGCTTCGGCATGTTCGGCATGATGGAGACTCTGACTCTGCTTGATCTCTGTGGCATCGATAACCTCCGTGTCTTCAGTCCTGAGAAGTTCCAGGAAATTGATTACCAATCACAACTTTTTTGGTTCGCTGGATTGTATACTTCTGTTCTTGTCACGGTTATCAGACTGTATCGTCTGGTGGCTGCCACTCCTGCCTCTGTCAAACGCGAGACTGTTAGCATTAGCTCTACTGAGAAGCCAGCCGAGCTTATCACTACAGAGAAGGAGACTGCCGTTCTCTCTGAAAAGATGACCAAGGATGATCTCGATAAGGAGCGTGAGCGTCTCAAGAGCATCGTCAATAAACGCAAGACCGAGAGACGTGCTTGGATGAAGAAGTTTAAGAGTGAGGGTTACGTTCTCCTCCGCGCTCTTGTTTCTGATCTCCTCGATATGCTTCTTCCTACCACTACGGTTGGCTGGGTCAAGCTCGAGCCTGGCCTGGTTAGTTTGGCTATGTTCTTCACCACCTTTACCACAGGTCAAGCTGTATGGGAGAGGGTTGGACAGAATCTTCAAAGACAGAAGCAGTAGGGAGGACAAAGAGGTGCACATCATTGTATAGTTCGTATCTCATGTTATGCTATTTGGAAAGCTATCTATTACCATCTGTCACTGGGACAGCAAAATACAGTTTACTCATAGACTACATCATATGCACTTTTCCAGCTGGGTATTGTCCTCAGAGCATTATCATACCGGGCTAATTCATGATCTTCCTGGCCCCAGTCTTCTGTCGTAGATGCTGTCCTTGGACGAAGAAGATAGAAGGGCAGGTAGTGGGTGCTCTTAGCAAATTCCCGATGTGGTCTTCTAGACCTCAGAAGCCATCGAGTCGCGGGGCTCAGAAACCTCGTCTCGGAAGACATCGAGGTCAGGAATGGAGTAAAGGTAGTCCTCCTCGTCCTCGCCCCTGTAGACAACGATCTTCATCTTGCGGAAAAGGCTGATCAGGTTAAGGACAGCAATGGCCGACTGCATGATCCTGTAATATACTATTAGCACCACTTGAATAACCCAAAACATCAGTGGTATACTTACACAACAGTAAGACTCAAACCCGAAACATTTGCGTGGTAACCCCAGTTATATGTAATGAAGGACAGAACACTGGGTCCGATGAAGAAAAGACCGAAGGAAAAGTCGATAGCGCTGACAAGATAAGTCCAGGCTCCACGGCTTGCGCGTGAGGCGAGCGAAGTTGTGCCAATGGTGCAGAAAAAGTTTCCGATCTTAAGGTCGAACTTGTTACTCTTCCTGCCGGGGAGGAGGCTCTTGAAGACGCGAGACGCATGCCACATAACCAAGAAGATCCCACCCATCGCGAACACAGCAGCTGAACCTGGGGAGGCCCAGGGCATACAGATGAAGACAACATTGGTGATAACGATAGGGACAATCATCAATCGTAACAACAAAATAGGCGAGAAAGTGAGTCTGAATACGGGCGACTTTCCATCTTCTCTGTCCTCCCTCTCAGAGGGTGACAGGAGCGCAGCTGCAGGGTCCTCTCTGGGGAGAGGCTCATAGGAAGCCTGTCCTTTTGGGTTCTTGGCCGCCATGTTGAAGTGTCGATGAGTGATTCGGTGATTTTATGGTCGGCCTTGTAAGTTGTGATACTGGTGTCTCATGGCGGGCAGCTCAGTACTTATACAATGACACTGTGATGGCACCCACAGGGGCATGATATGACAAAATAAAAGCAAAATCATATCCTATCTAGGAAACCGCCGCGTTTACTCTGCCCTTTTGCAGAGGTCTAAGCGCATGGAGCGAAGGATCGTGTTTCGTGCGTGCCTAGCACAGCCTTAAAGCTGCATGGTCCGAGTTTCCATAGTGATGGCTGCACTAACAGTACTATTTCCGCTCGTTTATTCGCCAGGGCTGATGCAGAAAACATGCTGTTGGTTGTCATGACTGTTTCGGGTTTATTTGTGGATCAGAGGCTGCGTAAGCCTTTGCTTAATTTTGGAGTCCAGAACTCCAACATGCCATCGAAAGGATCAAAACTTGAGGGGAGCATTATCATATCTGGCCGTTTGAGCAATGAGATGTCGTAAGAATTGCCGATCTCGTTGATCCAGGTCAATGCGGAAGATTTCCAAAATATGGTTAAGATAGCCGCCGCGAGGCATTCTTAGCTTAACTTTTATCGCCTACCCTTGACGAGAAAGCGACCAGTCTCAACCTGCATTTTCCACCCGTCTTGGAGAAGAGCTGCAGCTACAGCTTGTCTCAGCTGTGACACACCGCCAGCGCTATGGCGGCCGAGTCCAGTTATGACAGTAAACGGCTGCTGTCGAGCTTTATCAGACCGAAACTCTCCTAAGCCATCCCACCAGGACTGAACTCTCTCGCGAGCAATTCGCACACCAGACTGCACGGAAACGCCGTGCAAGTCAATCGAAGTCGATGTGCTTTGCTTATCAACGAGTAAATCTGCCGCCGTTGACGCAGCATGCATTTCATATCGAGCCTGCTCTCGTGCCCTTTCAGAATAGTAACCTGCTGCCTGTCGATAGAGTGGATTAGAGACACCACGTCGATTTAAGGATGCTGCTGAAGCGGCTGCTTCACGTTTGGCTCGATTGTATTGGCTGGCTCTCTCAGCAGCTTGCGCGTACGCTGACGAGCCGGCGGGAAAGCTCGTACTTCCCGAGACAGGTCGGGCTAGCTTGAATTTCCCTCGCGTAACTGTCTCGAATCCTTCGATGTCCTCTTCCGGCAGTGGCGTCAGTTGATAACTGACTTCAAGCTTCTGGGTCCAGGGATTCTTGACGAAATGTTTGCTAACAAGCGCCGCGATGTCGTCTGATTCCTGTGATATGGAGCCTGTGACCTGAACGATTGTTGACATAAACTTCTCTGGGACATTTTGATACTTTTGGGCAAGTTCTTGTGCATATTTCTTGCCTTCTTTGTCCTGAGTTTCGATGCCTTGCGACATGTATCGATGCAAAATCTCAACAGCGGCGGCACCGTTTGCGCAGCGTTTGTTGTAGTAGATCTCGGAGACTACTTCAAAAGGTAAGTCCAGCCTGTCTGCTAGGTATGCAATCTCGTCCTGGCCTACATGAGACAGTTAGATATCACTTTCTGGTAAATGATTGGTTAGAACCCACGTTTCAACTCTTTCAGGTCATCAGGGGAGGGAGAAGCAGTTCCACTGCTGGATGGTGTTTCGCTTCCAATAGCTTTCTTGCCCTTCTTCTTGTTCCTTCTCTTCTTCTTCCCAGCGCCTTCGTCGGGTTCAAAGAAGCCATCAATGCCCTTCTGCTCTTGCCCTGTTGATTTGAGATACTGGATGTTCAGTAGGTCATCGAGCGCAGTCTGCACATCACCGTTCGCCTTTTTCAGTGAGTGTTTAATGTCAAAGTCCTTGAGCTCGCTAAACATGCTTTGGAGGAGAAGGACCTTATTCTCCTCGCTGTCATCATCGAATGAAGTAAGTCGTGGTATGGAGTAGGACGTATTTGCTGTCGACGCGGTTTGATCGCTGGCGGAGGTGGTGTCTGTGTCGTGAGCACGAGACGCCTGCTGGCTGTTTGTCTCAGCTGTACTCTCATCACCATTCACATCTTCAGGGACATTTGAGATGCCACTCGGGTTGAATCCAGTCGCTTCTTCGGTTGTGACATGTTGGGCAAGGTCTTCTAAGACAGTCTGAGCTGACTTGTACTGAGAAGCTTCTGTGAGATCATGGTCGCTGGCGATGGCAACTATGAGGGCTTCGTCCAGGAGCGACCTGAATTTCTCCTATAAGATAATATGTTAGCATGAGCTTTTGCTATCTATCACACTACATGAATACAATAGTGTATATATATCTCATAGTCATGCTCACGAAAGTTCGCTCCTAAGACTCGACAACTAGATATATACGCGCCGAAAGCATCGCAACTATAATAAATGAAACTTACCACCAGCTTCTGCACAAGCTCTTCGGAGGTTTCTGGCATCTTGGGGGAGGGATAGTGTTGTGATATCGGTTATGGCTAGTTCCAGAATAAAGCATGATACTTTATAAGATCTTACAGATAATAAGAAAAGGTTATGTCGCTTAGTCTTCAGAAACTTCCCGTGCTTTTTATAATGACGTTGCGAAATTGAAAGACCGAATGACGCACAGAAAGGTTGAAAGAGTCATGGTGTTTTCAGGGCTCTTGAGCGAAGGTGGAGTTAGTTGAAGTTGCTTGACCGTATCACGTGCCACGATAACCAGCCTTTGGGTTCAAAGTTGTAAATAACACAGTTAATGAATAGTATAAGATCTAAAGCATTTGGGTTTGTTGAGGGCATTCACAACTGAATTTACCTTTGGGTCTGGTGATTAACTTTATACAGGCCTGTGCTGGGTAGAAAATCGGGGAGGCCTGAGCGAGAATGTCTCATGGTTCATATCTTCTGGCAGGATCAGCTTCGATGTCTTTATGATTAGCCTTGGACGATATCATGACGAAAGCTGTTTATCTAGCCGGCAGACTATTAATTTGTGGTAGTTTTCTGTGATATTGCATTAAATGCTGTCTGAGTTAACCTGTTTGGTGCGAAGCACTTCGCATTGCCCAAGCGCCTGTAGATTCTTTCAGGCTTCTAAGTCAATGGATAAGCTCAAGGCTAAGAAATATACTTAATGGCATATTTGCAGGCATATGTAGTCATTGGTATATGAAATAAAGCCGATATATTCATGTGGTTCTACTGCTGATGCTGATATTCGTTTATCTCCGGAACTACAAATAAGACTCTCTTAGATTACTCTTTGACACCAATACAACCCTAAAAGCTAGGTATGAATGAACTCCAGCAAGCCTACTTAAACAACAAGTCGTACCAGGCATAATTTCCATAATTCATACCACTATAATACACGAACTAACAATAATGTGTCAAATCCATCGCCACCTCTAGGGTAGCCAAGCTCCGAATGAATCATTGACTGTCGTTCAGGCGATGGCTAAGCTCAACCCCGACCTCTAACCCCGGCTTCTTAGACCACAAGGACCACTAAGTTAATCACACTGGCGAATTAGAGGCAAGTCTAGCCCGCAGACACCAATGACGCAGGTCGGTCGTGACCTCTTCAGCGCCCGCCATCGGGGATCCAAGTTTTGTACCCGTCACCGAGCTACCTTACCTGCTACGGCTACGGCTGCTGCTGCGCTACGACATCACCATCTGCCTCCAAGTCTCAACCTGCAACCGTTTCGGTTGCGCCTACTTTGTCGACGCGTCGCCTTTAGAGTTTCACCTCCACTTGAGTCACGTTGCTCAATTTCTAAACTTCAATTCTACAATCTACTATGATTGCTTCCTGGACATCGTAATCATCATCGTCATCCCACGCTTATCGTCGCATCGCATCTATCGTATGTCAACTTGAGAGCGATATCCACACCAGGCTTCGATCGCGACCAACTAGGCCTACGACTCCATACCTATCCCCCGCCGCGTGCGGCTCCCTCACCTAGAGATGCATCAACGCATCGTGCCTCAGCTTGGAGCTGTGGCTGCGCTTCTTGCTGGCCTCGGCTTCGCTGAGCAGTATACTCCGAAACACGAAGCTGGACGATGCGCCTTCCGAGGTCATTGCGGAAAGCAGAGTTTCTTCGGCAAAGAGCTTCCCTGTGTCGACAATGGTTTGGCTGAAGATCCCGACGAAGAGCTTCGTAACGAACTCGTCGAACTTTGTGGCCAGAAATGGAAGACCGGACCTGTTTGCTGTAGCCTGGATCAAGTAAGCATATCCCGCGAACCTTGACGAATCTTCATACTAATATGTGACACTTAGATCAAAGCACTCAAGTCCGAGCTCGGTACACCAAGCACACTCATTGGGTCTTGCCCTGCTTGCAAAGACAATTTCTTCAACCTCTTTTGTACATTCACATGCTCTCCAGACCAGTCTCTCTTCATCAATGTGACCGACTCTGCTCCCAAGAATGGCAAGAAGCTCGTGACAGAGCTCGATCAGCTCATATCAGAGAAATATGGTTCCGGTTTCTACGACAGTTGCAAAGAAGTCAAATTTGGCGGTGCAAACAGCAAGGCGATGGACTTGATTGGTGGCGGTGCTAAGAACTATACCGAGATGCTGAAGTTCCTTGGAGACAAGAAACCTCTCGTCGGTTCTCCTTTCCAGATCAACTTCCCGACTGATTACAGCGACCACGACCTCCATCCACTGGACATGACACCGAAGAAATGCAATGATGAGGACCCCGATTACCGCTGCGTATGTGTCGACTGCCCTGGTGTCTGCCCAAAACTCCCAGACGTCAAAGACTCTAAGGCTTGCAGAGTCGGTCTTTTACCTTGCCTATCATTTGCATCCATATTCGTGTATGGTGTTTTGCTGTTAACCCTGATCCTCGCCGTTTTTGGCCACATCGCCTATAAAAAGTATTCTCAGCATCGTGTTGAAAGGACAAGACTATTGCACGAATCTTCGCATAGCGACGATGAAGACGAAGGTGGCCCGGTTGACACAGAAGCGATGCGCGAGCGCCCAACTAAGAGATACTGGGTCAACGATAGGTGTGACAAGGCCTTCTATCAACTCGGTCACATTGCAGCTCGATTCCCTGGGTGGTGCATCGGCCTCAGTCTGCTCTTCGTTGCCATCCTTAGCGTTGGATTGTTCCGTTTTGATCTCGAGAAGGAACCTGCCCGCCTTTGGGTGAGCCCTTCTTCTGCTGCTGCACAAGAGAAGGCCTACTTTGACAGTAACTTTGGACCCTTCTATCGTGCTGAAAAGGTCTTCCTTGTGAACGATACCGATCCCTCTGGACCAGGCCCTGTCCTCACTTATGATACCCTGAAATGGTGGATTGAAGTCGAGGAGAGCGTTAAGAAGATCGAAAGTCCTGTGTATGGAAAATACTTCCAGGATCTCTGCTTCAAACCTTCCAATGATGCCTGCGTCGTGCAGTCTGTTTCAGCCTACTGGCACGCCAAAGGTGGATTTGACCCCAAGTATTGGAAAGAGGATCTCCGCGCATGCGCCAAAAGCCCTGTGGATTGTCGACCAGACTTTGGGCAACCCATTGAGCCTAACATGATATTTGGTGGTTACGATGACGATGTGGTTGACGCCCAAGCTATCACCGTGACCTGGGTTGTTAACAATGCTCAAGAGGGAACTGATGCCATTGCAAGGGCTGTTGATTGGGAGAACTCCCTCCGCGACCGACTGCTCGAGGTTCAACAAGAAGCCAGGGAGCGTGGCCTTCGCTTGTCCTTCAATACTGAGATTAGTCTCGAGCAGGAACTTAACAAGTCGACAAACACTGACGCAAAGATTATCGTCATCAGTTACATCGTCATGTTCGTTTACGCTTGCATGGCGCTCGGAACTCCCCTTAAGCATATCTTCCGCAACCCTGCTGTGCTCTTGGTTGAGTCCAAAGTAACGCTTGGTCTCGTGGGCATTCTCATTGTCCTCATGTCGATTGCTGCTTCCATTGGGTTCTTCTCATGGGTTGGTCTAAAAGCTACACTCATCATTGTTGAGGTCATTCCCTTTATTGTTCTGGCTGTTGGCGTGGACAACATTTTCCTGATTGTTCATGAACTCGAGAGAGTCAATGTCAGCTTCCCTGACCAAATGGTTGAGGAGCGAGTTGCAAGAGCCCTTGGCCGTATGGGACCCTCCATTCTTTTCTCTGCTCTCACAGAAACCGTCGCATTTGCTCTCGGCACCGCTGTTGGCATGCCGGCTGTCAGGAACTTTGCTGCTTACGCTGCGGGTGCTGTCCTGGTCAACGCCGTGCTTCAGATGACCATGTTCGTCTCCTTCCTTTCCCTTAACCAGATGCGGGTCGAAGACCATCGTTGTGAACTGTGGCCCTGGTGGCAGATCACTAAGGCGAGAATCCACCTTAATGGGGCCAACAGTTTTGCTCAGGGAGGTAGCCGTGGCTCAGACATGGCCGAAGAGAGCTTGCTGCAGGTCTTCATCAAGAACACATATGCCCCACGACTTCTTGGCAAGAAGTTCAAACTTGCTGTCATCACAATTTTCCTTGGGCTCTTTGCAGGTGGACTAGCACTTTTGCCCAAGATTCAACTCGGCCTTGATCAGCGCGTTGCTATCCCCGACGGTTCTTACCTGATCCCCTACTTTAATGACTTGTACGAGTATCTGGAAACAGGACCTCCAGTGTATTTCGTGACCCGCGAAGTCGATGCCTCCAAGCGAGAACAGCAGCAAGAGATTTGCTCGAGATTTACTACTTGCCAGGATCTTTCACTTACCAACACACTTGAGCTCGAACGACAGAGATCAGATATTTCTTATATCTCTTCGCCCGCTGCTAGTTGGATTGACGATTACTTCCTCTGGTTGAATCCTATCTATGACCAGTGCTGCGTGGAACATGGCCAAACCTGCTTTGCTGATCGCAAGCCAGCTTGGAACACCACACTCTACGGCATGCCTGAGGATGAAGAATTCATTCATTATCTCAAGAAGTTCCTTTCAAGTCCCACTGGCGATGACTGCCCTCTCGCTGGCCAGGCCGCGTATGGCCAGGCTGTTGTTCTTGATGATAAAGGCAATCATGTCAAGTCTACACACTTCAGAACCATGCATACTCCTCTGAGAAGCCAGGAAGATTTTATCGCCGCATACTCTGCGGCTCGACGCATCGCTTCTGATATCAAAGAAAGAACTGGCGCGGACGTGTTCCCATACAGCGTCTTCTACATCTTCTTTGACCAATATCTTAGCATTGTACCGTTAACAGCTGGATTGTTGTCTGCCGCTGTTGGAATAATCTTTGTTGTTGCAACCGTCCTCTTGGGTTCGTTGCTTACGGCATCTGTGGTCTCTGTCACAGTTGTGATGAGTGTTGTAGACATCATGGGCAGCATGGCATTGTTCAATGTGTCCCTGAACGCTGTTTCTCTGGTCAACCTCATCATTTGCGTCGGTATATCTGTTGAGTTTTGTGCTCATATTGCCCGCGCGTTCATGTATCCTTCGCGCACAGTGATGGAAGGTAATAGCAATGCCTTCCGTGGTCGTGATGCCCGGGCTTGGACTGCCCTTGTTAACGTCGGAGGATCTGTCTTTTCGGGGATCACCGTCACGAAGCTTCTAGGTGTCTCTGTACTCGCCTTCACGCGATCGAAGATTTTCGAGATTTATTACTTCCGAGTTTGGCTGTCTCTTGTCGTTTTCGCCGCCCTTCATGCCCTGGTCTTTTTGCCCGTTGCGCTAAGCATTGCTGGAGGTCAGGGCTATGTCGACCCAGAGAGTGAAGGAACCGCTGCACAAGACTTGACCGATAGGAGATGGCGAGCAATCAGGATTAATGACAACAGTGACTCGGAGGAAGAGCCTTAGTATGAGCGCCTCTTTATGCGACCTGGAATTTTGACAGGCCCTCAGCATGCAGAAAGCTCTACACAGAACAACGCAAGGAAGACCGCATTAGCAGCTGTCCGAGAAGAAGAGGAAGAAGGACAAGAAAGTAACGGAGGACCCTCTAGAAGTTCCGGATCTAGGTCATCTCCGGAGCGACGACCTCACAACGACGGAAGACGCAACTCGACCTAAACGATCTATCTTATGAACAATTTTGGAAGCACCAGGATCAGAGAACAACATGCTTAGAGCCAGGTGCTTTTCTTCCAATTGGCCCACATGCAAGAATACGAGCGCAAAGATTAATGAGACACTTGGGCCTGAGTACTGAGGGCTTGTACTGAGGGCTTAGTTTCATTGTTGGGTAGAGTCAGCGAATGGGTAAATTAACATATCAAGCATGGTGCATTGTCTTCTGGGTGTTTGAAGGCGTTGTCATTATTGGTTTCATGTAGATGGTAACAGGCTCTACAGCGATCATAACAATTAGTTACTTTTTCTATAAGAAATAATACAAGCGTTTCATGACATTGCCTATGAGCTCAATAACAGAGCCACCTTAATATCCAATATGTGACATATCGTGTTGATTTCGTGACAACTACTCGACTGACAAGTCTTATTCCCTGGAAACTCTGTAGCTTACAGAGGCCTTGTTGATAATTTTGAGTTGCTCTCTTTCGGTTTGAGTTATAGCTACGGCTTTTTTGTATTGGCTGCGAATGGTTGAAAAAGTTCTTGCTTGAATTCGTCAATCGTTGTTGCCACCTTTGGAAGTAGAAAGACTAAAGACTTTAAACCAGGGGGCGAAAGGACAAGTGTCTTGGTCATTAGGATCGAGGTCCGAAGTCTTCTGACCTCCCTAGCCTAGGTGCGTATAATGTCTAAAGTTGGACCTTCAAGTCGCAGCATATATAATACCCGACTTCCATTCTCACAGTCACATACATACAGGAGGTTGACTTTCATGAAAATTACACGAATCAAGGGACTTTTAGAAACGATGAAAACAAAAAGGAATAAGGGGGTCTTAACAAAGAGGGTGCGCATATATTATTGAAATTCACTGGTGAGAACATTCCTGGGTCGTATTCCGCCATGAATTCTACATCTAAACACTGTAATCCTGCTTACGCCTATAGCAATGCGTCAAAATGTACTTATAAAACTGCCCAAAAAGATATGTTTCTTTACATAAAGAAAACATGGCCTTCTCATCTAACTTTCCTCGAGTGGCCCGGCCCATTCATGAAGTCTTTATTGCGACTTTATGATCGACGATAAACAAAAAGAGGTGCAACCCTGTTGCCATGGGCTTTATTCAGGAGAAGGCTGGCGTGCTCTCCTGACTTGGTTGTGAACAATAGCCCGCAGGACGCCCCAACGAGCATCTCCTGATCCTAAGCTTAGCAAAGTAGTCTTATTAGCAGAGCTGAAGCCGGCTGTTCCTTCGTGGGGCTGAATGCTTATTAGGAAGGAGTTTCGTGAATGCGACTCTGAGTGATGGGTTACAGGAGAAGTGGTCTTGGTTGTATCCTGTTCTTGTTCCTCGACCTCTTTGGTCTCAACCAACAACGCAACACAGTTGCCGCCCCCGTCATCAGGAGTTGTATCAGAAGGCTGAGACGGGGGAAGGGAAGGATTGGAAGTTGAGGGAGGGGGAGTTGATGGGGGAGTAAGCAGGCCAAGGAAAGTAGTGGCAGTGGAAGACGATCCATTAGATTGTCGCTCTGATTGCTGTTCTTGTTGTTCTTCTTCTGGTTGTTGCTGGTCAGACTTGACCCATCTCTGAGCAATCGCCCTAAACTCCTTGAATTTGCGCAGGACTGGGTCCTCATCTTCACTCATCGTTATGAGGACTTCTGCTGGAGGGAATCCATCGTCATCCAACTCATATGTAGCTGACATGTTGGAAGTTGGCTGGGTCAAATAGAAAGTAATGTTTATGTAGTGAGTATGTATAAGTGTAAGAGGTAGTGATGGATAGGAGGGCTGATGGTTGTTTGAATGATGGAAAAGAAAAGACAAGTAGGATAGGACAGGTTGCCTTTATATGGAGAGAAATAGAGATTAAATATTCACCACCGTAAGAACGACTCCCTTTGTTACCTTAACATGCACCATATGCCCTTGGCATCATTAACATCATTAACATGAGAGTCAATAAAAGTGTGACGATATGAAACTTTCATATTTCAACTCTATTTTTACTGCACTAACATATCGAATCCATTTAAGTTGCCCAACCGATGGAATCAGGCTCTGAAAGAAACCAGCTCAACTAGAAAATAGAAAGTATATACAACACTGCCTCAGGCAGGAGGCAAGAAAGATGCAAAAAGACCACCTTGGATCATCGCATACATGCTAATAAACACAATTATCCCATAACCCAAATTCTGTCTCTGCTTATCCAAAAGACATGAAGCGACCCACCAATACCAGACGGGGTAGGCTGATGAGATGCGACTAATGATCTGGACGTGATAGTTTGTGATGGCTAAGACGGCGAGAAGAGTTTGGACAGCAGCCAGAGTTCTTACGAGCAGCCTGCACTGTTCATCTGTGCTAGAAGTCATGGCTCGAAGACCTCGTGAGGGCTCTCGTGTGACCTCTATTCCTGACTTGATGAGGATTGTGAGCATGGGAGCTGCAAGGAGGAAGAGAGGAATTTGGTTGGGTGTCCAGTATTTGAGGAAACCAACGTTCCTGTTCATATTAGTTATTACTCACTAAGTAGTTATTTTGAGGGAACATACCAGTACTCTTCCTGTACAAATGTGTAGATACTTGGGAGAGGGCGTGTACACCAAGGGCGTAGTTCTCCATTATCCTGGACATTGCAATATCTCATCCACGCCAGAACTTGAGGCGCTATAAACCCAACTGCAACCAAGAGCCCACCAATAACAGGTGCAACTAGCCTTAGAACTTTGGAGAAAGTGAAGCCGCCAAGAAGTGCTGTGAGGCCTTTGATAGCTTCCACCGCAAAGAGAACACCACCAAAGAGGCCATTGCTTCGAAATACGCAGGAAACCCCATACAACAGCCCTGCTCCGATCACTGAAATATTGCGCCTCAATGAGTCGGGACTAGCCTTCAGACTCAAAGCAAAAAGAAGGTTGCCCACAAAGGACAAGCATGAAAACGTGCTCTCTGCATACGGCGCTGAAAGAAACAGCCCGCCAGGTGAAAGAATATGCACGACCGCAGCTAAATATGCAAGCTTTCGATTATTGCATAGAACAATGGTGAGCTGGTACAGCGCCAAAACAGCGATAAGGTGAGACACGTGTGAGATGGCAATCGCAATAATAGCCTCCCAGCCCTCAAGTCCAAATAACCCATTAATGCCACGCACAACAGCTGGCAGTCCAATACCAAACGCCCACTCCTGCTCATATACTTTGCCCTTCACTGCATCATGCATGAAATAAAGCGCGTCCCATCTCGTCAAACGAGTAGCTAAAGCAGGAACAGGGGTTGTCGGGCCATGAACGATGTCGAAGAAGAGAGATGTTGAAGTATCGTAGTCTGGACCTACGGACGCGCCGAGGGCGATTGCCAAGAGAAGACCTTTCCAGGCAGTATATGCGGCTGTTAACGAGAAAATTGGGTTTATTTCGTGGCTGAGGAGACTCATTTTGAGTAGGGGGTTGAATGAGCGTGTGAAGTTGGTGATGTGAGGTTGAGTTGAAGGGGTGTGTTACGTGGGGCGGAATATAGTGACACGTTCGCTAATGAGACAGATGTAGCAGTGGTGAGATCAACACAGCACAGTGAGTGACTCTCATATATAAAAATATCAGAAAACAATTGATCGTTTGTAGTGATAAACTCAATATCTACAATTCGACATTTCGAGAAAATGAAATAGAAAAAATATTGATGCCTGCTGGTTTAACTCATCTCATTCACTGACTGAAAAGCTCCAGCACCTCTCATAGGTCTCTACACATTCATCAACCATCATCAATCAGCCTCACTTATACACATGGGTATTCACTATCAATTAATATCAACATCAACAAAAATGCCGGCAGAAAATAGCACAAAAACCTCATCTCGGCTCAGACCAGGAGAATTCCCGCCACTGATAACCATTCCTCCACTTTCTTTACCTCATAAGCTCACCATCATCATCCTTCATGGCCGTGGCTTCAACGCAGAGAAGTTTCACGCACCACTTCTTGCATCTCCTTCTCTCGACCCATCAATATCATTTCGTCAATCTCTTGCTCATGCTCGCTTCGTCTTCCCGACCGCGCCTCTTGCTCGGGCGACCAAGTATCGCCGGTCACTCATTCATCAATGGTATGAAGGAACTGGTGATTGGGAGCCCAAGGCGCGGGGGAATATGCGACCAAGTATCGAGTACATCCATAAGTCATTGCAAGATGAGATAGCAAGGCTGGGCGAAGATGCAGGGAAAGTAGTATTAATGGGGTTCAGTCAAGGCGGTGCAATGGCGTTGATGAGTTGGTTGCTTTGGGAGGGCCAGAGTCTGGGTGCTGTGGTTGTAATGAGTGGTTTCATGCCTTTGGCTGAGAGTCTAATGGTGGAAGATACAGGAGACGACATATCGGAAGACGGATTGTTCGAAAGGGATAGTGAAGAGGAAGCAACAAGTCCACTGCAGAGGGCAATCGACGAGCTTCGTGAAGAGGCAGAGCTTGATCCTGCACCACCAATGACATCTTTCCCTTTCCTGAAAACTCCTGTGTTTATGGGACACGGTAAAAAAGACGAGGATGTTGAGTATTGTCACGGACTAAGTGCCGTCAAATGCTTGGAGCGCATGGGAGTAAGTGTCAAGTTAAAGACTTACACAGACTTGGCACATTGGTACTGTCCTGAAGAACTAGGAGACATAACACAATTTATAAATCAACAGCTAGGATTATAACCAATCAACATCATAGAGAGACCTGTCGAATTGATAACTCATAAATTCATGATATTCCGCTTATGGAGGCATTTTAGATACATAGCACCAGATCCTTTTATCCAACCCTTTTCAACCACCCATTAAATCTTCTCGCCATCGAGAATAACCTTAGCCTCATCCGAAGTCCACCAACTCACACCCTTCTCACCAGGGTAGCTAAATCGATCCATGCTCTCAGGCTTCATCTCAACACTGTAACCAGGCTCCACAGGAGTGGTGTAGTAACCGTCCTTGATAACAGAAGGATGGAAGAAGTGCTCGTGGAGGTGGTCCACGTACTCAAGAACAGACAGCTTTCCGGAGACCACAACGTAGTCAATGGTGCTCAGGTGCTGTGTGTATTCGGGAAGACCAACACCACCAGAGTGAGGAACAATAGGCACACCAAACTTCTTGGCCATGAGGAGGACAGCAAGGACTTCGTTGACACCACCCATACGGCAAGCGTCGATCTGACACACATCAATGGCGCCGGTCTGGAGGAGTTGCTTGAAGATAACGCGGTTCTGGCACATCTCACCAGTAGCGACACCAATGCCATAAGGCTTAAGGGCGTCGCGAACAGCCTTGTGACCGAGAACATCATCGGGTGATGTAGGCTCCTCGATGAACCAAGGCTTGAAGTCGGCAAGCTGCTTCATGTACTCAATGGCCTCAGGAACAGACCAAACCTGGTTGGCATCTGTCATGAGAACATTGCCCTTGTCGTAGCCAATGACCTCACGAGCAATTCCCAGACGCTTGCGGTCGCGCTCAATGTCACCACCGACCTTGACCTTGAAGTGTCTGTATCCAGCGTTGAGAGTCTCCTGAAGAAGACTCTTCATCTTATCCTCTCCGTATCCAAGCCAGCCAGCACTCGTTGTGTAAGCAGGCACAGCGCGGTTGTTAAGAGCCTCTTCGAGACGCTTAGCCTTGGTAGGCTCCTGCTCCTTAAGCATAGCGACAGCCTCCTCGGGGGTGATTGCATCGGTGATATAACGGAAGTCAATGCAGCTGACGAACTCCTCAGGGCTCATGTCAGCGACGATGCGCCAGACGGGTTTGTTGAGGGTCTTGGCCCAGAGATCCCAGACAGCGTTGACGACGGCACCGAGAGCGAGGTGAATAACGCCCTTTTCGGGTCCAATCCATCGGAGCTGACTGTCGTTAACGAGATGTCGCCATGTCTGACCCCAGTTTGCGACGAGGGAGGAGAGGGTCCTGCCCTTGAGACGCTCGGCGACGTGGTTGATGGCAGCGCAGACGATGTCGTTTCCACGACCGATAGTGAAGGTCTAAACAAAGTCAGCTACAATTGAGATATTCTCTGAAAGAATTGAGTACTAACCATTCCGTGACCGGTGTATTCAGAGTCTGTCTCGAGGATACAGTAGGCGGACGAGTAGTTGCCAGCGGCGTTCATGGCATCGGAGCCAGTTCCGTCGAGAGAAGTAGGAAAGCGAACATCGCGAGTCTTCCAACCAGTAATTGTAATTTCACCCATGATTGCGGTTTGTTTTTGTATATTCGTAAGGTAATTGTTGAATTTATCGAGTATGAGAGGAGAGCTCAGTGAAGCATGAGGGACACACTTGAGGTGGGGTGAGCTCCGAACGCGGGGGAGGGGGGAGAAATCCGAGGTTTCAGTGAGGAGTTATGATGAGAGGAACACGACGAGAAAGAAGAAGAAGAAATATAAAGTCGTGAGGATTATAATGAATCAATTGAGGCTAAATAGAGACAACGGCCGGGAGCGTCATGCTTTATAGCTTCTTCATTTTGCTGGTCCCTTTCTTTATTCCTCCCACAGACTCTCTCATGAGACCTCGTCTATTGTCACGATGTGGGGTAAAGAAGAGTCGAGATGCCATGACGACCAATTCTTTGGCGTCTGATTGATGGAATAACGGGCTCCGCTCATTGGAAACCCCCATGAAAGTGAATTTGTATATCATGAGAAGCTATCCACGGCATGTTCTTGCCGATAAGTATGCTTGGGATTGGAGAGGGGAGAGTTGTTGATTTGGGGGTGGGTTTGGGGGGATTATTTGTTAAGAACTTATCAGTAAGAACTCGATCTAGAGTCAAGCTTTGGTGTTGTGAAAAGTACCCAAGGTTCAGTGCCTAAGAGCAGTAGGCCCCCGCGACCCGCCCCCGCGCAGTAATTGACCCGTTGCATGAACCATTTCGGTCTTCCCCCCGCAGGCAGAATAGCAATTATAAAGAGCAGCTATGGGCATTCAATGTACTCCATCTTCCCTAGTGGAAGTGAGACTGGCTTGAGGGGAAAATAAACCTCGTGACTGAAGTTTATGCCAATGAAATTTAGTGCCTCGCCAAAAATTCCATTTAAATTATTATCCGACGTTGAGTTTTGACCCCACGATGTGTCCCCGCGATCCGATCCGAGTACCCCTCACTAACATGGGATCCAATGCGCACAGAGAAAGTCTGTTAAGAAGTCAGGTTAACTAAAGCATTAATTAAATTCCTCAACTTGTTGGAAGTACCCGACGGATAATTAAGCTTCTTTAGAATGACACTTATAGTCTTCTGAGATTCCAGAAATCCCTCTTATATCATGCCATGTCTTGACCGTTTCTTCAATGTGCGTGCACGAGAACCATTTCCCCAACCACCCGAGTAAATTAACTGCATACAGTATCCGTTACCGTCTGTCGACACTACAGACACTGTATTTCTTTTGACTTTGGAGTCCGAAGCCTTCTCTCGTTTATTCCGTCGTAAAGACAAAGGTTCTTCATAAAAGGAACCGCCGACGGCCTTATTCTACTTCCTAACGCTCAGTGTCTTCTTGATCAACGACGATTTAGGATATTCAAGACCGAAGATAAATATTCGCGTTCACAACCAATTGTTATCAAAAAAGTGTGCGAAGGAGGCAGCCTGCTTCTACCTCATGCATATCTAACTCGCGTACATGAACTTACTCATAATGACATTACCACAATGACGGGATGGCTTCAGAACAACAGCCCATCGACAAGAGACACGTCTTTTTACCCCTCTCATGAGTAAATGAGCTCAGACCTGAAGGGTCTTTGATCGATACGATAGAGGCACACATGACATGACATCAGCTCAAACTAGATTCAATCACACGCGACGCGGCAGGGCCACACGGATAACAACCGTTTTGGCACTAGGAAGTAACCTAGTGCGAGCCTGTAAGCTGTGAGGGTGTTGCGGCAGCTGTAAGGCGTTTCTACAGCACACTGAAGAGTGTATGTCTGTCTGTCTGTCAGGTCGGGTCGGGTGACAGGGCCAGACAGGGAAGGGTCCTGATTATCAGTTGCTGGTGTGGGCTTCACCGCTGCAGAGGCGGGTGGGTGGTCCGAGGTTGTTCTCGTCAGATTCTGGAAGAGTTAGAGTCGAGAGATGAATCTTGTTTTGGTGCAAGAGACCATGATCAAGTTGAGTACCGCGGATCAGTTTCCTTTACAAGGACATAGTACACCCTCGCCTCGGTTACCAGCTGTATCTTTCCGGGTCATCCAATGCCTGTAGTCCAGCCCGGTTGCAGTCTGTTCTGTTCCTGTTGATGCCAAAAAAGTTGCAGGTTGCAGGTTGCAGAATCCCAGTTTTTGATCATCCCTGCCTATCCCCAACCCTTTTTTCTTCCCTTCGACCCATGACGTGGAGTATCTCATCCACCGCGTGGTCCTCTTGATTGGACTTCCAACCTAACCTGCAGCTTGGAAGCCACTTTGGGCCAGGGAAGCGGTAAGGGCCTTGACTGTGTCTCTCGGCTTTACTACGTACATAATAATTACGACTGACTTACCTTGCCTGAACTCTCTGTCGACTGCAGCTTGCACATTCGCATTTGCTTTTCCCTACACATCTTCGTCATATAACATACCTTACATATCTCTCCCATGTTTGTCTTCCATGGCTGCGAAATCCCCAAAATTCACCAACCAACGTGACCATTACCAACCAAGATACCTTGCGCAACTTAACCCACGAAATACACATTCACCTCAAATTCTCACCCAAGCGCCCTTGACGACGATCCACGCTTATCACTCACCTTGCATTTTAAATGCTACATCCTGAAACCGCGGCTCTCAACATCAATTTTCACCGCCCGCCATGGAGAACACACTCGCAAGAAGTCACAGTTTGAAGCCTCCCAGGCGCAAACTCCAAAAACCTGACCCGAAACTCAAAAGCCTCAACAAAGCTAAGCGTGGTTCTACCGACTCGACCATGTCCAGCCTAAGCCCTCAGAGCAGTATGTCTTCACCGTCGCAACGACAAATTCAGAACGGCGCTCCCGATTTGAGCGATTCAAAATGGGATCATTATCTTCGACCAAAGACGGTTTTTGTGCCCTCATTTTCAGAGCCAGAGGAGCAGCTTCAGCCAGAGATCAATTCACCATATGAACCGCCTCAGCAACATCATCAGTACCAACATGAACCTGAACCCGAGCCACCAAGGGCGTTCTTTAGTCCTCCACCACGAAGACAATCTTCTCAGCGCCAAATTCCAGAATTTCACCATTTAACTCTCCAGGATCATCATGCGCGACCATCATTGGACAGCTCCTCTCTCCCTTCGACCGCATCAACCACCTCGACATCATCTATTATGCGACGCCAGGCCAAGACACCCGTCTTTCGAATCGGACAACTAGAACAACATGCTCTTGCGCGCAAGGCGAAGGATGTGCCCGAGAAGACATCAAGCGTTGAATTGATCGCTGATCAGTATAACGCTATTCTTGAGTCGAGGGATGATCCCCCAGCCCTGGACTCACAATTACCATCACGAGCATCGACATATTCATTCGACGATACCCCTCTTCAGATATCTCCCCACGGAGCCAAACGACAAAGTTTACGGACATCAAATACGTATTCATCTATGACGGCTATACCTCGTCAGCTGAGACCCAGACTCAGATCTGCAGCGACTCACGATACGAATGTGGCTGCCGTCGAAGGAGACACTATT